CTCGCCAAAATCAAGTGGGCCTAACCCCGGGATCACTTTCATCTCGATCACTTCCGCGATCACCATGGATGTAACGCACAACTACTCCTATATTTAGCAGATTTGTTTTTTTATCACTTCGGATATCACACGCTCTTTTTTCACTTCAGCGAATTCCGTTTGCGTCTCTGTTTTTTTTTCTCGTAACCCGTCGGCACCGGGTCCTTTCTCCGCGGAGGCGTCATGTCGCGGTCCTCCTCTCCACGCGCCAATAAATTCGCGCGGATCTCGAACATGTATTTAGGAAGTCGGTGTTTTGACACGAGGCATCTGGGTATCCCCTAATTTGGGAGCCCGATCGCGGCCGATTAGGTCGTGTAACGCGCTGTTGACAGTCGCGCCGGTTTCGCAACCGGATTTTCACGTCGGATGCGTTAGTCGGCGCCGGGTGAACGATGCTCGGGTACGTTCGACGCTATTTCCTGCTAATCCTGAGAAAATCCGCCCAACCGCGCGGCATTTCGCAAGCGATCGGATCACGTTTGTTTTTGGGGTCTGTCGTTCCGAATCTTATGTTTTCGTCAAGTTACAAGTCGAGCGATTGAGTCAGAGGTGGAATTTTAGTGCGGGAATCTCCTTGGAGACTGTTGGTAAGATTAGTAACGCACTGGAAAAAAAAACACACTGGATCTAGAGTCCATACTCTCAAAAACATCGACCAAAAAAAAAATACTCTTGATTCAATCAGATTTAAGCTTAAATCAAGAACCAAGCCTCTTAATTTCATCGGATTTCCCTTTGATTATAGCTTAAAGCTGATTGAATCAAGAGTCCTTCTTCTCGTCAATGTTTTCAAGAGTCTAGACTCTAGATCCAATGTGTTTTTTTTTTCCAGTGCGGTTCATGAACGGGAGGGGGGTTTGACTTGGCGCCTCTGATACGTTAAAAGTGCAGAAGAGGAGTTTAAGGCTGCGATGTTACGTTTCTAGTTGAACGAGGGACTACACGGAAAAAATTACATTGCCGATTTAGCAATTCAATTGCTTAAAAAAAGTGACTGCAATGTTTCATTGTAGATTTTAAAACGGAAAAATGCTACTTTAACCACCCCTTAGTTAAATTAGCTTACTATAGTGGTTAAAGTAGCATTTTTGTGTTTTTCCGTGTAGACAAGTTCTAAAATAGAGGAAAGCGTCTTATGCTTTCTCTTTGAAATCGGACATTGATAACTCTTCACGCAACGGAAGGTTCGGAAATAAACTCCTGGTTAAGATATTATTAAATATCTGGCCTATTAATAAATAATAATATGAGGCCGTAATAGTTAGCTTATGCTCATTTTGTAATGTTATATGCTTATTCAGTAATGATATCGAAAGGTATATTGTTTAATATGTGTCTCTTTTTTTCAGGTGAGACGCATTCTGTGGTTATTCATTTTTCGGCTTGTACAAGACGATTCACCTCCGTAAGTTTTCGATTAATTTTCAAGCTTTCCCTCCACCAGCGTCAGTAAAAAAATCCTCCATTTCCTCCAGAAATGAGGATAGTATGTGACTCTGATTCGGAATTCAACGTCGCCACTACAATAATTCTTTTGGCGCGGCGAGTAAATGTCTCCGTCATTTATCGCGAAATTACCGCTGAAAGTGTTTCACCTTCAGTTCTTCAACTGTTGTTTTTCTTGGAATTCAGGGGGTTTCCGTCGGTTTGACCGATTATCAGATCAAACCCTACTATTTTTGATCAAACTTGATAGTCTTCGGGACTGAATTCGGAAGTATTGCGGAATCTTTTCCCGGAACTTCCGGGAAAAGTCGGAACTTTCCTTGGAACTTCTGGTAATAAGAATTAATACCGGGAACCCCAACATCTCGAGTAAAATAAAGTGGCAGCACTTCGTCTGGACACACTTATACGACAAAGCTCGCATCCAGTTTGTGAAATAGTATTTTACAGTGCTGCCATTTTGTAACTTTGGCATTTTCTCAGATCTTTACACAGAATCCAATCATCGAAGTTATCCAAATTTCCCGCTTCTCCCTGATTTTTTTTGGGATTCAGTGGGTTTCCCTCAGTTTGGCTGACTATTAGATCAAACCTGACTATTTTTGATCTAACCTGACAGTCTTCGGGACTTAATTCGGGAGTATTGCGGAATCTTTTCCCGGAACTTCTAGGAAAAGTCGGAACTTTTGGTAATAAGAATGAATACCGGGATTCCCAAAATCTTGAGTAAAATAAAATGGCAGCACTTCGTCCGGACACACTTAAACGACAAAGCTTGCATCCAGCGGGGCGATTATTGAAATTGATGGACAAAGCTGTAGACAAAGAAGACATGGGGAGTATGGAGCGATCTTATTGGTTGACATGGTTGGTTCTTATAGACTAAGGAAGAAAATGATGGACTAACTGTCGGGTCTTTAGTGGGTTGCCGTTAGTTAGTCCATTACCTACCTCCTATGTCCATTGCCACCACCTGCTTCCACCAATAGGATCCCTCCAAATCCCTTTTGACGTCTTTGTCTACAGCTTTGTCTATAAGTTTCAATAATCGGCCCGCAGTTTGATATCTGCCCGAGGAACAAACGGGAGCTTTTCGGTGGCGGTCGAGAGAAGTAATCAGGCTAATCGTGCGTCTTCGGACAGATACAGTGGTCACGGGAAATGATGGATCGAGTCCGGGAAGACGGATCATTCTTCCGCGGCTCAGCGCTCGGTCTCGTAGCGCCTCGACGAGAAGAAACCCATGCCAACAAATTACGCACCTCACACGCATCGTTTATACTTCATCCACCTCTCGCGGAGCAGACGCCGTTGTTGCCGCGTCTTCGGAAAATTAAGTGTAACACAAGCGGGCTTCATACATATACATATTAGTATCGATAGATAGATGTATAGAATTTATTGATGCATACAGCCTCTAGTAAACAGAAAATTTAAAATTTTAAAAAATTTACAATTTTAAAACTTTTAAAAAACAATTTGTGAAAACACTCACTTGCATATCTCTCTCTTGTGTACTCTTGTGTAGTGCTTTAATCTCCTTAACTGTTTTCATCTAGTAAACAGCTCTGGCACAAGTCAAATTTACAATTTATACAACAATTAGGAACAATTCAAGCAAAATGGACTTACAGGTTCCTCAAAAAATTCTTTTACATAATATTAAGCTTCATTTTTTAGCGGGCTTCATACATATACCTATTAGTATCGATAGATAGATAGATAGAATTTATTGATGCATACAGCCTCTAGTAAACAGAAAATTTACAATTTTAAAACTTTTAAAAAACAATTTGTGAAAACACTCACTTGCATAACTCTCTCTTGTGTACTCTTGTGTAGTGCTTTAAACTCCTTAACTGTTTTCATCTAGTAAACAGCTCTGGCACAAGTCAAATTTACAATTTATACAACAATTAGGAACAATTCAAGCAAAATGGAATTACAGGTTCCTCAAAACATTCTTTTACATAATAATAAGCTTTATTTTTTAGTTTTATTTTCAATTGGTTATGGAATATTTTGACGGAACTTTCCCTGTACATTACTTTTAACTCGTTGGTCAAGGTGTTGAAAAATGTTGGTCAAGGTGTTGAAATGCACCCCGCATTGATTTTCCGTGGTGTGAATATGATATGTGCGTTCGTCGACGGCAGGCTGATCCACTATGGTGATGGGTGCCTGTTTGACTTCTCCTAGGTGTGTAAACTTGCATCTTATTTCTGTAAACTTCAACGAGGTTGTTGGACCATCTTCCTCAGAATCAGATGCCGGAGGAGACGGCGACGAACTTGAAGAATTTTTCTGCGACATTTCGAAAACGATAGACTAATTTCGGTAAACTGTAAATTTAGAAGAAATTAATTATTTAAAAAACTGAAATTTTGAATTTTGGGGAAAATGAAAAAATAAAATATTTACAAATCTGAAATTTTGAATATGGGCGGGAAAATGGAAAAAAATAAAATCTTGATTTTTCATTAATTTATTCTCCCTAGTTGTATCAATATTATTTTTCATGACGCAATGTCGGGTGCCATACCCATGATTAGGGGTTATTGGGCTATGGGGGGGCCAGGGGTCATCGGGGTTAGGGGTCATCGATAAAAGTACACCAGAATAAAAATAGACAAGAAACGGCGGGGACGAGGCCGAAAAAACACAATAATTGCAAATCACGGGACGTTTCGACCGGTCTCCTGGTCATCATCAACCGTTGGAAAGAATTAAAAAAATCTGAATTTTAGAAAGTCGCCGTAACCAGGGACCGGTAGCATTGTCTTTAGTTTTTTTTTTGTTTTTTTGTTTTGTTTCTTTTAGATTTTTCCAAGTTTTTTTTGATGGTTGATGATGACCGGAAGCCCGGTCGGAACGTCCCGTGATTTGTAATTATTATGATTTTTCAGCCTCGTCCCCGCCTTTACCTGTCCATTTTCAACTAGTACCTGCATCCTGGTAGTGTCCAAGAAAAACTTAATAATTTCTGCCCCTGCGACGGTGAACCCAAAGGTGTTCCAGAGGGATACAGGTCTGAAACGAATATACGAGAGTCACAGTTGGAGAGAATTTTCAGTTTACATTAACTTAATCATTAACTTAATCACTAACTTAATTAATCAAATCAACTAAATTCTTATCTGTTTGCATCTAGTAAGTCGATCAAAATCCTAATAAAAGTAAAGTCACTCGATGGTAACGAGCTATTACTCGTACTTGAATCGCACAAATACGAACCTCTTATACTGGGTCGATACACTCATAGCTGTCCCGGAGGGAGTCGAGCATGTTCTCACAGACAATAGAGGGCAGGCAGAAAGAACACGGACAGAAGAAAGGATACCTACGAACCTTCTAGTAGAAATCTTTAAAAATAATTGCAAATCGGACGATTAACTTTTATATACTATTTATTTATTTATTTATAATTCATGTACATAAATGCCACATGTTGTGGCTATAATACTTGCCAACCCCCCCCCCCCCCCCAATATTACACATTCATGTTCCACCGTGTGGGTCATCGTCTTCCCTGTGGCTGAAAATCCTTGACCCGCAAGAGCATCCTTCACTTTCTTCGGCAGCGGCTGGGAGATGGTTACATTAGCAGCTTCCTCATCTTCAGTTGTTGTCGATGAGAACACAGACAGGGAGGGACTGTCAGAATATGACGGTGTGTCACTCCTCCTCCGCGGCGTTGATGCAGCCCTAAAAGAAGGAAAAATCCACGAAAAATGAAAGGTTTACTCGTTAATATAATATAGGTACGTGAGAACACAGGGAAGCATTAAGAATATTACAAAATTTTACAAAATAAAATAAAAGGTATAGAAAATTACAGTTTAATATTATTTAAAAAAATCATTTAAGGAGTAAAAAGCCTTGCCAACTAGTAAGGCTTTTAGATCAGCCATAAACTCTTTTACTTCCCATTTCCGAAGAGCTTTTCTCAGGTTCAAGGGAAGGTTGTTGAACAGTCTGATGGCAGTATGAGACACAGACTGTACTATACTACACACATACTTAATATCCATAAAATGAATTACTATATCACAAGAAAATATCAAAACGAGCACGACGTAATACAATTTAAAATGAAGATTGATGTATCCGTGGCACTGTTAGAAAGAATTGTCAACTTTTTTGCCTTCGCGACGTGGTACGTGCTCGTGCAAATTCGCCTTCAATAAAACTCTCTTCTCGAAATTTTCATTTGTTAACCTGTTTGAGCGTGGTGAGTCGATGAACGTCGCAATCGAAAATAGACGTTCTACAGGGCCAGACGATGGTAGGGAGGTATTAAGCCTAACAAAAACCGGCTTCATATACTTGTACCGGTTTAGCATAGAGATATCCCTTTCAGGATCGGAGAAGAATTTCGCCATCTCCGTCTCTGCAACGGTGTAAGCATCCGTCGCAAAGGGCACAGTATTGAATTCAAAAAAACTTAGCATTTTCGAGAGTTCCTGCGAGCTCGAAGATTGCGAATTTCGCGACTGTGATGACTGCTGTGAATTTGACGATGGTGCCGTCGCCGCTTTTTCTTGGCGCTGGACCTCCTCGATAACTTCTGACCGAAGGTACGAAATGTAGAGATCGTGGCTATGCTCTGGTACCAGAGATAGCCACGTTTTCTTCACCCTCGGTGAGCATAAGGCTTCCTCGCCGACGGCATCATTTACATGGAACAAGTACGAAAACCTATTTTTCACAGAGATAATGCAGGACTGGGCAATTGGTCGACAAAATTCCATACTCGAGGCGACGATATTGCTTAACTTCTTCTTCTCGAGGCTCAATACAATGGTTATAAGGTCCCCATAATACACGCAATATAACCTTGCCATTTCCGTCTCTGTGACGGTGTAAGCATCCTTCTCGGAGGGTGAAGTGTCGAATTCGAAGAAGCTGAGCATCTTAGACAGTTCCTGAAAAATATCTCTTTCCGGGTCTGAAAAGAATTTTACCATTTCCGTCTCTGCGACGGTGTAAGCATCCTTCTCGGAGGGTAAAGTGTCGAATTCAAAGAAACTGAGCATCCTAGACATAACTTAACATTTTAATAAAGAACAAATAGAATAATATGAGATATTATAAATACTAATCCTAATAATCCAAACCTAATGAAATTGCTAGGTTCCTGAGTGATAGCCCTTCCAGAGTCTGAAAAGAATTTCTGGTACCAGAGATAGCCACGTTTTCTTCACCCTCGGTGAGCGTAAGGCGGCCGCAACGGCTTCCTCGCCAACGGCATCACTTACATGGAACAAGTACGAAAACCTATTTTTCACAGAGATAATGCAGGACTGGGCAATTGGTCGACAAAATTCCATCCTTGAGGCGACGATATTGCTTATCTTCCTCTCGAGGCTCAATACAATGGTTATAAGGTCCCTATAATTACGCAATATAACCTTACCAGTAAGAAAACATATTTTTCACAGAGATAATGCAGGACTGGGCAGTTGGTCGACAAAATTCCATACTCGAGGCGACGATATTGCTTAACTTATTCTCGAGGCTCAATACAATGGTTATAAGGTCCCCATAATATACGCAATATAACCTTACCATTTCCGTCTCTGCGACGGTGTAAGCATCCTTCTCGGAGGATGAAATGTCAAATTCGAAGAAGCTGAGCATCTTAGACATGACTTAAAATTTTAATAACGAACAAATATAATAACATAAGATATTAAAATACTAATCTTAATAATTCAAACTTAATGAAATTGCTAGGTTCCTGAGAGGTATCCTTTTCAGGATCCGAAAAGAACCTTACCATTTCCGTCTCTGCGACGGTGTAAGCATCCTTCTTGGAGGGTAAAGTGTCAAATTCGAAGAAGCTGAGCATCTTAGATAGTTCCTGAGAGATATCCCTTTCAGGGTCTGAAAAGAACCTTACAATTTCCGTCTCTGCGACGGTGTAAGCATCGTGCTTGGAGGGTAAAGAGTCAAATTCGAAGAAGCTGAGCATCTTAGACAGTTCCTCAGAGCTCGAAGATTGGGACTGTGACCACTGTGAGGTCAGCTTCGTTCACTTCTTTTCTCGTCTTCTTCTCTCCTTCTTCTCTCGTCTTCTTCTCTCCTTCTTCCCTTGTCTTCTTCTCTCCTCCTTCCGCGATGACTTTACGAGGGCTCCTTTTTCTTCCTCTTTTGCTGGTTACACTGGATCCTTCGACGGATTCTCCTGTGGAATTTTACAAGATAATTTCTCAAATACATTAACAATTTTTATGTTTCTCACTGGTATCCCCCCGGGCGTTGCCGTCTTTTTTTCTGCCGTTGGACCTCTTTAATAAGTTCTGATCGTAAATATATGAAATATATAGGTCGTGGTTATGATCAGGAACCAGTGGCAGGCTGGCTCCTGGACAGTACTCTATTGTAACAGCTGCTGTAGAAGGGACAAATTAGACAACAAAATTTGACAAATCCAGTTAAGCATCACAAAAATCAAGAGGATACAATCGCTTATCAACTCTACGTCTCTTCAGAGGAAGACTGCTCTGTTTCAGAGTCACCGCTCTCAAGTACAGCCAATCCCAATGCTTGCCGCCTTGTCTCACGGGCTGCAGCTCTCTCTCTGCTCTGAACATGAAAAGAAAAACAAAATAGAAGTAGAATAATAAATGGGGGTTGGGGGTTGACAAATAATCTAATCACAATAATTCACATCATATATTACATAATAAAATAGTTACTAATATTTCAGTTCTAGGGGGTCCTTTTTTTAAAAAAAATTAGCCGAGAAAACCAATGGCACAATTTTTTAACACCAACATTACATATTAGTGAAGATAAATGCTTTTAAAGTTTTTAAATCCTGTCCAACGTCGTTTATTGACACAATCCACCGTTCAACGCAGTAGATTATAAAATGTTTTTACAGTCAATTTACCTCTGGCATCTCGAGCACTTCCTTGACAATGCGATTTACTATTTGGAATTATTGGAATCTATCTGACAACAACGGGAGATTCTGCGTAACTGCGATCAGTGCAAGTCCGATATCATTACGAATGTGCACTGATTTATATCTACTTAGCTCATGATGTATTCACTCTTTAAAATTAATTAGTCCGTCAGGAGCCCAATGAGTAAGCGGCCGGTCTCCCCTCACTTTCGATCCTCTCTCTACTGACCGGTTGCCATGCACGACGCATCGACGTAATTGGACGTATCTATGCTAAATGGAACTATGTATAATTGAAAATGTATCAAATTTCACGGTATGTGTATCAAATGAAGCACAACGATGAAGCACAGAAAATCATAGCCCAACAACACGAACAAATAGGGAGGGATTTTAAACATGGGCAAACAAGGCTAAAATATTAAAAACCACCGTAAGGAAAGACGTTTTGAGCTATTACCTACCAGCTCCTTTCAGCTGCTAAAACCCGAAAAATAAGTGAAGAATTGAGTGTCGACCTGACGCAGGCGTTATCAGAACTGGGGGAAAAAAAACACATTGTATCTAGAGTCCGGACTCTTAAAAACATCGACAAGAAAAAAATACTCTTGATTCAATCAGATCTAAGCTTAAATCAAGAATCATGCCTCTTAATTTGAGCGGATTTCCTTTTGATTTTAGCTTAAATCTGATTGAATCAAGAGTCCTTTTTCTTGTCAATGTTTTCAAGAGTCTGCACGATAGATCCAACGTGTTTTTTTCCAGTGAGGTAAAAGGCTACAAAATTAGCTCATTTTGATGTAATTAATTTTCCCAGTTTCGTTTACCACGGCCACGTGTGGGTTCAATACCCCGCCGATCAGCATGTATAACTAACGCTAGTATTGGAGAATAGCACCGATAAGCACTAAGAAATATTCAGAAATAATTTTAGCTCTGAGAGGCTGGAAATAACCTAACTTCTCTCCTGATTCTAGAACAGAATCGTTTCCGGAATATTTAATCATCACACTTTTCACGCCTGATTTTTTTTCTATTTTGTTACGATGCTGTTGCTGATGCCTCAATGGAGCATTTTCTTAATGTTTCCTCTTCGTTTTACTCTCTTAACTTGCGGTCACTGCTGAAGTCCGTAATAAAGACTTATGTTACAATATTTTTGGGTAGTGATACTTTACGACCAGTCGAGATGCCAAGTATACTTAGAAGTTATTTCTCTTCCCGAAATGAGTCTTAGTTTCCTCGCACTGTTAAGACAATTTATGAAAGTTTTCAAACAATGAGGTTTTGATATATTTCCAATTTTCCGCACTTTAAATTCCATAAATTACAGCCGGAAGTCTGTAGTTCTGCGGAACAAATTACGTGATTTTGCTGTTTCACCGCTGGTTCGTGAGTTTTGTCATCCAGTCAATGACCATCCCACAGGTCTGTTCGCTCTGATTCCTCGAAGATTTGGAGTCTAACGCATCACATTAAACATTTTTTGAACCATTTACGTTGCGCATACGTATGTAACAGATCCGTCCAGCCCGACCATCCAAATGCGATTCTACGACGGACGCAACTGACCATCATGATGCAATTAAAATTCTCGTAGTCCCCTCGGCGGGGAATTCTTCCCGGTGAAAGGGCCGCTTCTCCCATCTCAGCGTGTCGATCCACCGACTTAAAAGAGCGTAACAACTTTTTGAAACGAGTCCAGTCGTCCGTGTAATTCCACGTTTCCCACAGCTCACGTGGAACTGGATATACGCCTTCTACTGCCGGTAATGATAAACGCCGGATAAACATGTCTATAACTTCTTCTGATGAATTGAGGAGCTTGGAGGACAAGTGGGAGAAGTGCAGTTTTCACCATTTGATGAAATACGTGATTTAAGTTTTAAAGTTACACGGAGCTTTATGACATAAAGTAAGTTCAAGCTCACTCTTTGATGCTGATAAAATGGATTCTAGTTGTGAATTTTTCACAGAATATACTGGAAAAAACGCATTGGATTTAGAGTCCAGACTCTTAAAAACATCGACAAGGAAAAGTACTCTTGATTCAATCAGAATCTAGCTTAAATCGAGAACCAAGCCTCTTAATTTAAGCGGATTTCGTTTTGATTCAAGTGAAACTCCGATTGAATCAAGAGTATTTTTTCTTGTCGATGTTTTCAAGAGTCTGGACTCTAGATCCAATGTGTCTTTTTTCCAGTGTGCACATTACGACCCATTCCATTTGAGATCATTTATATCTCAATTTTTTCCAAAACCGCACCTATATTCCTTTTGGACTTCATTTTGCAATTAAGAAATTCAGGAACTTCAATTTCTGGCTCGGTTTAGAAATAACGTATGTATATATGTAGTATGTCTTTCTATGCACGTACTTGTTTTTACTTGAGCTAGAAATGTCAGTGCCTAATCGCAAAATGAAGTCAACATGTCTTCCAAACCCCTCAATTACAAATTTTTCGGTAACTTTTTAATATTTCTATTTCCGCTTTTCTAAGAACTGTCTTCGTATTTATGCACATCTATAGTCCCTCTGTGCTGAGAGTAAAGACAGTGCGAATCCATTTCTGATTGGTTCCCGTATTTAAGGCCTTCGCAGTGTCACAAACGGGAATAAAGATTCAATTTTCATCAATTGCGAAGATTATACACCGGAATAGACCAGGGAATTGGGGGCACAAATGGAATGAGAGAGGGAACGGAGATAAGAATTCGGTAATGGGTTGATCTAAGATTACAGAAACGTCCGATTTGAGTAATCTTCATTCCCGTTTGCGATATCATAAGCCGCGTTGTCTCAACTCTCCCTCTATAAAGGGACTCGATTTATATCTAGAATATCTGTGCATTCATGGAAAAAGCTTTCTACATTTCCTTTCAAATCAAACACTATGTGGGCAAAAATTTGGCAACAGTTGGTCGAAAGCTCCTCTCATCTGTGCGGCATTCTCGTCAGCGAAGCGAAGATGCGCAAAGGGAGTGGCAGCGTCCGAAGGCGCGGAAAGTTTGCGACCTAGCTGATCGATCAATCGATACTTCGATACATCGATGAATATCATTGCTGGTTCACGGCAGAATCGTCACGGTGCACTCGATCTCGAACGATTCGAGAATCGATGCCGGAGAGCGGTAACCAGACTGCGAAGAAAATAAGAGCGAGGGCTGTCAATCGCATCGAAACGAAATCGAACAGTGGCGAAATGTGAATGATCGATTATCGATTCTCCCGTAAGAAGCTACGGTGAAGAATCGAATACTACGGACACCTTGTTAATCGATCCTTCCCCATAGGTTATAAACGAGATGAATCGCAAAGCACGCCACGCCACCGATCGTGATTACCGATGGGAGCCGTATAACACGCATGGGTGAGGTCATG